ACAGTAAAGGTTTCAGGCTGCAGCCTCATGTGAATTGCTTTTTCAACTTCACAAAGATAAATGGGTAACACTTCACAATAATCATAACTTATAAATGGTAAATAGACTGTTTATAAATGGTAAGTGGATAGTTTATAATTGTTAAATCATTTATAAATAGCATATAGACCATTAATAAATTGTAAATTTAAAAATTTTAAAAATCTGACCCTAACCCTTACCCTAACTTTACAACATCTCAGTAATGTTTATAGGTGGTTTATAAACCACTTATTAATCATTTACAAAGTATTACAAACATCAGTTGCAACTTTACAATAACCATCTAAGTAATGTTTATAGATGGTTTAAAAAACAAATATTGACCATTTACAAAGAGCTACTGACACACATTTTAATCTAGATGTTTTACAACCAATATTTAGACCCTATATAAACCTTTAATAAATAGTCCATTAATAATTGATGAAAATTATTAATCATAATTTCATTGCTTGTTAATGGTAAAGTAACAATGAACTTACATTCATAAACTATGTATTTGCCATTCATTATTGGTCTTTATACTGTTTTTTAAATGATGATTAAACATTAATAAACTATCTATTTACCATTTATGAATTACGGTAATTTAAGTTTTACCGACGCATGTGTGTCTGCAGTAAATGGCATGTCATCAGCATTGTCACAATCAGTCTTTATTTAGTTTGTTCGTATTTTCGTCTCTTTGAGGCCTGCAGACAAGCAGCTCATCAATACACTAATGCAGATTATCACTTCTTCTTGTGTTGTGCTCACAAATATTGCAGAAACGGTGCAGGAACATTTCTGCATTTAAACTGAGATGAGAACATGGGTCAGAGTCTGTTAAATTTAGCTAAATTGTGTGGCAGACTCGGTCCCATCTGCAGACAATGGTACAGATAGTGTGTGCTGCCAGTTACTTAACAAAGGCATCTATTGTAGCTACACTTCCAAGCGACATGTTACTCAGACAACCTCCCTTTGAAAAAAAATGAAGTATCCCTTTAAACAGGAAATAAAAAGCAGCTTTGTATGAGAGTCAACAATTGAGCTGAAATAAATAATCTAGGTTGGAATTACACAGATTGTACAAACAGACTGTACAAAACAACACTAAACCAACACAGAGAACAGAAACTGGGGAAAAAAGGATCAATTAAAGAAGTAAAATTAATTTTGTGTTGAGGAAATGAGACAGTGTTTTACAGTGCTGGCTGCAGTATTATTTAATATTCTACTTTTATTTAATAATAATGGACATACCCTAATATCCTCCCTTTCCCTCTTATCGCCCCTTTATGACCTGTAAGCTTGCACAGGAGGACTGCTCTCACACTCAACACTCAATAAGTATAAAAATGCAACAATGAACCTGATATATATTTATGCTGTCTCCCAATAAACACTTTTCTGAACACATTGGCATGTAAATAAAGGCGTTTTATTTTGCAAGAATTTTACAGGTTGATTTGCAGGATGTAGTTTTGACTGAGCTCGCTTTCCTTTGCAATGAGCCCTTCTCAAGATGAAATAAACATTTTACGATAAACAAATATTACAAACACAGAGCTGCATCAATTTCACAGCCTGCTTCCTGCTGTCTAACCTAAACTATGTCTATTGGCTCACTGCAAACGGAATGTGCTTATCAAGCACATTTTAATGGTGCCAATTTGTAAAATAAACAAATACAGACATTTCCTCGCAGCTCCCTCCTCTGTAAAAAGGGAAAGTGTCTGGAGCGTGGCACCAAAGTAAAATCTTTGAATGATGATGTAAGTTGTGGTAATTACAAAAACAAACAAAATAATTCAACTGACAATAACACCATAATGCCAGAGAGTATTTTTGCATGCAGGCATGCTAACATAAGACAAGGAAAAACAAACTGATTTAATAAGTGTGTCTTGTAAATGTCGATAGCATGCCAGCCCGCTATCTTTTACATGTTTATGATGTTTACAGGCTGTGACTCTTCCATGTCAGAGTTATAGCAGCTGATGCACAGTTTGTTATGTGGTTCTGAGCGCTACAGATGGCTGTGTACTGCAGTCCTCCCACCCAGATGGTAGCGAGTGAAGAAATCACTCACACTGTAATCATCCTGGAGACACCTGGAGAACCACAGCAAGAGCAAAGATGGGAAATGTAAACCGAGCGCTAAGTAAACTACTCAGTCAAGCTAATCAGAGAGCGAATTATCCGGTGAATGTGGGCTACGCTCTTTCCAACCCCAAATCTGCAAAATACAGTCTGCAGAATTGAAAACCAAAGTTCTTCAGTGTGGAGAAAAGACCTAATTCAAACTAAAACAGTCATTTGATGGACAAAAACATTTTGTAGTCTATTTGAAAGTTACTTTAACAACAGTGCTTACCATACATACAGAAATACAATCATCATCATGTATGTCAATATTTACAACATAGCTAAAATGCTGAAAGCACCAGATATAAGAAGAAATACAACTCCATACCAAAAAGAAAAAGAAAAAAAGAAGAGGGGAAAATGTGTAAAATGATTAAAACTGTTTTATGCCCTCTCCTAAACGAGTACTCATCTGGATGGCAGCATATGTTGCTCATAAACTTATATTGTTCAGCTTTAATAGGTATATTACAGATGTGAAAGCTACCCATGCCATGGACACATATGATCACCAAACAATCAGGGATGCTTTTGAACTGTGAACAGGTCAAGTGAGCTCTCTCCTCCACAGAGCAAAGTGCTGTCCATGATTTCCATGCAGAGTTTAAAACTTTGGTTTTTTAGAGTCAAAGGGTTTTCCATTTCTCCTCAGTCCATCTTATATTTCTGGACCATACTTATATCTGCCTGTGAATACAGTGACAAAATATGTTCATATGGTTTTTGCTAGGAAGTGATTTGAACCCATGCAGTGATTTCCACTACAGAGTCATGTCTGCTTTTACTGTGGTGTTGTCTAAGATCCACCACTTAGTGTTGGTTATTGGACTTGTCTTGTTTCTTTATATTGCTGGTATAAAAATAAATAAATATGTAAAAAAAAAATGCTGTCAACATTTTATATGTTGTTTTAAAACTGTTTTCGACCAAATTAAATTACATATTTCTAAACTTTTTCATACATGTCACAACTTTTTAATAATTTAGAAAAATAAAAGTGTGATTTTTCGGTTTTTTTATTCAATGCAAGTAAGTTAGTGAATCAGTAAGTAAATGAACAAATCCTCCTCTTGTATTGTGTCATAACTTCACCCATGTCATTTTAATTTTAAAGGTTGTATTAAGATGTGTACTCCATTTTCTGGTGATCCGAAAATAGTTTCAAAACTTCATTAAAAAGTTCAGTCAGGTGTCACGTGGCAGTGCCAGGGTCGGGATTGGCAGATCCCAGACTGTACTGAATGTACTGCCTTCTTTTCTAAATCTTGTTTTTGTCCTCTACATTCATACAGTTTTATTTATTGGGCCAAAAGAAGACTTTATTGCACCCACTACTGTCCATCTGCCATGACCCTGACACACAATGCTCAGCATAGATGATAATATCAAGAATGCCCCTCAGGTGGACCTTCAATTTATAACCTTGTGCCCACAGAATTTAAACTTTGCAGGCAGTAGTCATGGTTTTTGACCTTGATTTGCCCTGGATTTTGCCTCACAGGCGGCAACATGCAAGCTGCTGTGCCATCTTGGCGGAAGATGCGGGGGCTGTGTTCAGCATAACAGAGAGACTGAGGACACTGCTGACATATCTGCAAAAAGGTCTCACAACTAAACTACATATTTTTACACATATATATGCTAAAACTGTAAGTAACACTATTCATGGAGAGTGTCAGCAAAGTTGGCAAATCAATCTATCAATCAATTAATCAATATATCCTGCACTTTCCTCTTTCTTTAAAATTCATATGCAACTGAAGAAGAAGAACAACAACAATGACAAATTGATTGATCCCCAAAGGTAAATTCAAAGTGCTTTACATGGATTAAAAGATAGCAACAAAGGACAGGAGTAGAGACAAATGCTTACTACCAGGTATAAAATAAATACAATTAAAACAATAAAGGAAAAAGAACGTGTTGTGGGGTACACGTAAAACCTACAGCCTCATAACATTAAGATTCACTGCTCATACACAAACAGTGTACAGGAGTATTGAAGAAAATAGTGCCAGACAAAATCGGTGACTCTGGGACTTGAAAGACTTTCACATCAGCACCATGGACAGCAGACAACAATCAGAGGGTGTACTTTACTATAGGTTAGGGTAAGGGTTAGGGCTATAATTATTTACAATCAAACAAGAGAGGAAGGTGGGGTATAAACAAGAGAGGCTTTAGTCATAAATGTTACTTTTGATGTTTGTCCCCCCCAGGTTGGAAATTTTAGTCTTCTTAGCCATTCCTGCACACCATAGTGTTTAGTCTACTAGCCAGTCAGAGTCTATGTTTTTTTACTATTTAACAACCAAAGACTGGTATTAGTGAGTGTGTGGGCCCTGCTGTCAAAGAGTCATTGTACAGCAAGAAGCTCATCCCCTGATCTCCAATCAAATATCTGCATTGTAACATATTTAATGGGGACACAACATCAAATATTGAAAACAGCAGGATAAGTAGTAAGGAAGCCCAGTAATGATTGAATGAGGTGTTGGGTTGGGGTAGATTAGGGTTTTCTTTGTTTCTTTTATTCCTCTGCTGTGTAAAGAACTTTATGTTTTTGTATAAAAAGTGCTGCACAAATAAAGACTGATTGATTGATTTTGTGTATATTTTATCTGCAGACGAAGAGAGTGGTAGAGCTCTTGGACCAGCCAAAAGATTACATGCTGGAAGCCGGGCTTTTCACCGGGTACTTCTTCCATGAAGAGGTCGGGTCATGGAGGCTACTGGTAGAGAACTTTGTTCTTTTTTTTGTTTGACAGACTAAATTATGTCATTTTCAGCTCTTTTTAATGCTTTTCATGAGTATTTGACTCATTTAGATGCCTAAAGAATACGCAGTGGCCGGTGAAGTGGACAGTGACCAGCCAAGCTGTCTAGACAATCTGGTGGATGTAGGTAGTCTTTGCTTGGTTTCATGAGTGATGTCTAAATAGTCGACATGGTTCTCTGATTGTTTTACCTGAATCTGTTTCCTTTTTCAGATCTACCCCAAAGAGGGGGAAGCTGAATTCCAGGACAGGAAGGCGTTTGTGGACCTGCTAAAAGGGCTGCTGCATCTTGAGAGTGACAAAATAGAGTGATAGTCACTCCAGTGGTTTATGGGTGAAACATATGAGATATTTTTAAAAAACTGACTAATTAACTCACAAAATGATTTTTCTATTTCATCCAGTCTGGCTGAAGCATAAACTTTCAAAGACCATCAGGGGGCCTCAGCAGACAGGGTGGACATCTCTGATGCCCTCTGTTTAGGCCTAAGATCGCCAAAATACCAGAGACGATGCTGCAGCTGATGAGTCATTAAAAGAGGACTCATTAGCTGAAAGACAAGACCCATCAGATGGAGGGACTTCAGACAAAGAACAGCAGAGTCCATCAGAACATATATATAGCTACCCCGTTCTGTTCAGGGGTTTTGCTGCTGCTGCTCTACCTATCTTGGTTTTTCATGTCTGCACATTAGAAAGAGGGAATGTGTGCTCTCCCCGCTGCAGGATTTAATAAAAAGGCAGATAGAATGATGGTGTAAATCCAGTCATGACTGTTACAGAGAAACAGCAGTATCAAACAAGTCTATAGAATATGTATGTTCTCAACCTGTGGACTGTTTTCAGACATCTCCACACCACTGTACAATGACTGATGCCTGTAACAGGAACAAGTCAGAAAAGAAGATTCAGAGCTTTCTCTGCAAAAAGGCACACCACTTACTTCTGCCTGATGGATGAAATTCAAATCAAAATCTTTTTTCTGATTTATTACTTTTTGAATAAATAAATAAGAAAGAAAACAGTTTGTCAGATGTTGGTGTTTATTCAGTGACTTTTCAGTACCAGCATTGTGAGAAGCTGGGAGTCAAAAAGATAACAAAAATAACCTTCTTTGGTGGCAAATTTCTCAAAATGTCCTGCTGTAATATCAAAAAAGTTACAAACCCCAATCCCAGTGAAGTTTGCACATTGTGGGAAATGTGAATAAAAACAGAACACAATGTATTTTCAAATCCTTTTCCACTTATACTCAACTGAAAACACGACAACAACAAGATACTTAACGTTTCAACAGACTCATTTTGAACTGAATTTTGATGAATCCAGAGAAATCTCTGCGTGTAAGCAGCAAGGCTGACAACCAACATAGAAAGGACTGCAACCTCTGACCCCCTCAAATGGCCCACATGATTCTGAGGAGGATTTTACTACATGGGCTCAGGTGGACCTCAGAGAAACCACTGTCAGTTAACACAGTTGGTCTCTACATCTACAAGTTCAAACTCTACCATGCAAAGACAAAGACAGATATCAACAACAGACAGGAACATTGCCAGCCTCATAAGACCAGAGCTCATCTGAGATGGACTGACCTGAAGTGGAAAAAGTCTGCTGTGGTCTGACAAGTCCCCATATCAGATACTTTTTGGAAATCATGCATGTGGTGTCCAGACTGTTCTCAGGTCAATGGTCAAAGCCAGTTTCTGTGACAGTCTGGGGGTGTGTTAGATCCATCTTCCTGCTATTGACAAACTTTGACCAACTCCACTCCAGCAGCCTCAGCCTCCTCTGGACGGGGGAAAAAGATCCTGAGGCGGGCTTCTAAATTCCTCAGGCGTGTGGCCAAAACCCTCTGTTGCTGCTGCGATGTGGAGTACTGAGACATCTCTGTGATCAGAGACCCCATAACCCCTAAACCCTAAACCCTAAACCCTAAACCCTAACCCTTTCATTTAATGATACTGACAGTTTAGTCCTAAATTTGACGTAAATTCAATGTGCTGGGGAATAACTCTTTATGAGACAGCTGTCTGTCACAGTTTCTGTCTGTTGACACAGACTCCAGACTGAAGTTTATTTCATCTACTGACAGACCACATGGCTATGCAGAATAGCCCCGTCTGTTACAACATGTACGCTCTGGTGTGCAGAAGTCTTGTAAAAGACAACATATGGATTATAATAAAAAGAGTAAAGTGTGACAGATTGTCCTTGTTACTCTGTTTAGAAATGTAAAAATAAACTAAATGGTTGGTCACAATCAGTCAATCTCTGAAATAAAACACCTTCCTTTGTCATTGACAAATAAGTCAAAAGAGAAATGTCTCTCTCCTGGTTTAACACTGAGGTTTCCTCTTGATAACAATAAATCTTCATGTAGTATTTCCTGTGAATGTTTGGACAGTATTAGTTTGTGTGTGAAACCTGAATTTACTCTTTCCCAGTTTGAGAGGGTCTTTGGCAGGTAACAGTGAATAACCCCTCTGATGTTGTGTCGTGGGCTTCTTCTAAAATAAATACTTATATAAAAAATTCAACCAAGTTATTAAAGTTTTAATAAAATCAATCAAAGGTAGCAGAAGTTTAATCTCACTGGGTTTTATTTGACTCTCACTGTGAGCCTGGCTCTGATCCAGCTTGCAGGACATTTAAGAGACTAAAGACCTGATGCACTAATAAACTGTGTATTTTGAATTCAAACGGCTTTTTACAGTTTAAATTTAAACAAAGGGTCAAATTTCAGATAAAAAGTGACAGCCCTAATGTTATGAAACTGAAAAACATACAACTGAACTAACAAGGAAACATGCCAAACAAAAATGACTGCCACAGTAGATTTACCTGGTACTCAGGTTGAGGGGTGATGAGGAGGGATGGCATCCCCAACCCAACTACTGTGTCTATACAACAAGTTGTATTTAAATTTTTACTTTCTTGTATGGATAACTTTATGTGTATTTGAAAAAAACTGTTCTTTGCAGTTTATTTCAGTTTTTACACATTTTATTTTGCATCTTGACATGAAAAGAGAGCATAACTAATGCCAGTCTGCAAACAACACAGTCAGCCCATAGACTGTTTTACTGAAGAGGCTGTCCTAGTCCATTTTAGTGGATTTGCAATATATTTAGAAAACAGCCTCAGTGCATGACAAATTGCATTGCAGTTTTTATAAAGATCTGCAGTAAAATGAGACAGTTTAGGCCATAAAATCACAGACAACACAGTCAGAATCTTGGAAGGATGAATTACTGTCCAAACATTATTCAATAAAGCTAAAACAATCAAACACTCAGGCACAGTGAAACACCCTCCATCTTAAAAAAATGAGTAAACACCAGACCGAGTCTCTGCATACCACGCAATCCTGCCCCCTCTATTCCTTTTTTTTTTACTCTCAGGTTTTGACCAGTGTGTGGACAAAGATGAGCTCAAGCACAAAAACAGTAAGCTGCATGTTAAGAGAGCATTTTAGAGAAAGGGGAACATCTCACAGCAGCATGACCAGAAAAGACCAAATATCTGTAGCTCCATCACTTTAGGGTGGATGACGGGTAGGAACTCTAAATGGTAGAATATTCAAAGATCTTCAGTTCAAATGAGTCAGTGTGTGACCTTTCAAGCTGGGGGAAATTATCTACTGAATCTGTAGATAAGCTGGGGATAAATTAAAATAAATGCACAAGGTTTGAACCACCGCGTCAAAAAGAAAACTTCTGAAGCGTTTTAAAAGTTTAGTTGATGTAAAGTGTTCAAGGCTTTTTTTTTTTCTTTTTTTTTTAACATAAATACAGGATATTTTTTCAACTAAGGGTGATGCTGGTCCAGGTGCAGGCCGACATCAAGGTCAGAATCAAAAGCCCCCTTAAAACCAGTGTTTGGACAGTTACAGAAAATTATTTGTTAAAAAATGAAAGGTTCCTGACATTAAAAAGTAAATGAGTCACTGAGTCAGTGCAATGTGAAAGTACTTAGTCACATGGAAGTAACTTTAGCCCTCTCTCTTCTGGCTTCAGTCCTCACATTAACGTCCTCTCTGGTCTCAGGGATACTTTGCAATATCAGTTATAACGTTTAAGATCTAAATGTACTGGTCTGCAGCACCCTGGATTGCTCAAAAAGTCAAAAGGAACCAGTTAATAGACCGGTTTCAAATCAGTAGTCTGTTTGAGGTTTGGCTTTGTTACTTCTTCACCTGGTGCTCAGGGTCTTTAATCTCATTCGACCAGGATGTTGACCTTTTGTCTTCCACCAACACCTTTGGCTGAAATGTCTGGACAGGTAGCATTAGTTAGCTAACAGGGTGATAGATGATGTAGGATACCTTCTTTATTTCCAAAATGAAGCTACGTTGACTTAATCTGAAGGTAGTGTGGCGATGTGCATGTCGATAGTATAACAAATGGGACAGAGCCTGCGAGTTATTTCAAGCAGACAGATCCAGACACATCAATTTGAAACTTGACTTGTGTCATTCCCACAAATCCCATGACTTGTAAATCCTCCCAATCTGGCACTCTAGTTAAGGGACAAGATTTCTGGTCTCTCCCTCTGGTTTGCCACTGCCACCTCTGCATGTATAGGTCTTGTACTCAGTTTCAGCCCCATCATCACTACAGCATCCACCTACAGGCCATAACTGAGGGTTTAAGATGTCGTCCAATCACTCCTCAATTTCTGCATGTTAAAGTAAAATTTGGGAAGAGGTTCAGAGTGTAGACACCTGACACAGTGAGCTGCTCAAAACAGTTGAAAGCATTTCAATCAATCAATCAGATTTTATTCATTTAGTGCCAAATCACAACAGATGTTATCCCAAGACGCTTTCTAAAACAGAGCAGGTCTAGACCATGCTCATTGTTTGATGATTTACCAAGACCCAACCTCAAGATAGGACAGATTTGACCCATTTAATGTGAGCCGTCTTATTGCTCCTGTGTCCTGCTGGTGGACAAAGTTTTCCTTCCTGCGCCTAGATTTCCATGTAAAGAGTAAAGAAAAATAAGGTTGATATTTCACAGTGTGAAAGCTCACGCCTAAAAAAAAATCATCAGTGGTTGTGTGTGTGTTTACTGGGCAAGATATTACTTCTGTCAGGGGGCTGCTGTGCCAAGTCAGTGATTGATCTCATGTAGGTGGCAGTTTTTTGTTTTTCTTTTCCTGAAGAGTAACAGGTAATGACTCCTTTCACAGTTTTATTATTATTATGATTATTATTATTACCATTGTGATGCCATCAAATGTGAAAAGTAACTAGACACGCAAGTCAAGGCAAATAATAGTGGAGCATTTTTCTAACATGCTTAATA